ATTACTTGTCATGTTTTCATGGCAGAGATTGCATCCTTCGATATTTTTCAGAAGAGGGGATAAAATCTATAGTGTTCCTGCTGATTACTTGTCATGTTTTCATGGCAGAGATTGCATCCTTCGATATTTTTCAGAAGAGTGGATAAAATCTATAGTGTTCCTGCTGATTACTTGTCATGTTTTCATGGCAGAGATTGCATCCTTTGATATCTTCCAGAAGAGTGGATAAAATCTATAGTGTTCCTGCTGATTACTTGTCATGTTTTCATGGCAGAGATTGCATCCTTTGATATCTTCCAGAAGAGTGGATAAAATCTATAGTGTTCCTGCTGATTACTTATTTTCCAACATTTCCGTTTCGATTGACAAAGGTTTTTGAAATCTTATTGTAACAATCTGCTGTGTAATATTTTCCGAACGTAATGCTGAGAGCATGACAATAACTTCAACCATCTTTCTTGACCAACCTAATCGTTGGATCAAAAGACAGATGAATATCTTTTGTATGAAATTAAATCTTGTATTTGTATTACAATCCTCTGTCAACGTCTTGTTAACTAACTGCAGACCATATTATTTTTAATAACTTAGAAATATTCTAAAAAAAACGATCTTTCAGCATCCTATGGAGTCTATGTCATTCTGAATCCAAACTTGCGACAAAAGATAATCTAATCCATGGTTTCTCAACGTTTTGCACCTCAAGGCTCACTTAGTTATTTGGTACAATAGTAAAGCCCCACAAATTCAGTTGATAACTTGTTATTTTGGGGTATTCACAGTTGTCCCGGTTTGTGGAGGTCCATAACTGTTCGTCTCACAGTCCACCGATTGAGAATCACTGATCTAACTCCATGTTAGGGGTAAGGGGGATTCTAGTAAATTGGCCATCCAGTGTTGTTCTTAACAATGACAATATCTGGATATTTTTCAGTGGCTTATTAATCAACTTGTACAAAGACTGTCTAATTTTCTTACAGGTTATCCAATAATTTGTTTTCTAATAACTAGTACAAATTATTAATTATTTGAAAAGTGACTAATTCTGACCTATCTACATTCTCACTTCTTGTCGTTATCTCTTCTTTATGTTAGGCTACAAACGACGTGACGTTTCTATGATATTTTAATTGCACCAAGTTATTTGAAACTGGACCCAGATAAAGTTTATGTCAATCATATACTTTTATAGCAAATCACATTTATCTGTCAAGACTAACTACAATCGTACAAAATGTTTCACCTTATGTACCATCCAGTGGCCTGCAGTAAACGATCGCTTACATTATCACATCACTTATTGATTTGAATGCTGAACCATAATGAACATCCGTTTAGAGATTGTTGTTTGGCTAAACGTGAAAATGTCGATCGTTATTAATGTAATCACATTAAAAATATTTCACAAACTTAATACATCTAGTTTAATTTGTCTTACTGTGTTATCTATCATGTGTTATTAAAAATCAAAGTGACCCTGGAGTTAAACCTTGTAAATTACGATAAAACAGGCTTACGATGGTTTTTATATATTTTGTAATAAACATAACAAAGGATGCCATGCCAGCTTAAAATAATGGGTCTGATACATCCATCCAAGTAAATTTGTTGAACTTTTAATTGCTATAATTAAAATATATCAAAGTAAGTGAACTTATTTATGCATTAATTTTTAGTTGATTGAGTTATAACTGATTATCACTTCCTTGTATAAAAACCAAAAATAATAGAATTGTTTTTTAATTTTTTTTTCAGCTGACAGATAGCGAGTGATTGATGTCAAATTTATAGTGAGTTTAGTTTTAGTAAAATAGACAGTTTATGTATGGCAGAGGAACCAGGTTCCAAAATCACAGCTTCCGCGTCAGAACCAATAAATCAACTGCCATCTTCTATTGGGGAGTTTGTAAATCCCCCTAGTCGAAGTTGTGAGGGTGTTGATCAGAGTTCCCCGTACAATGTGTTAATTAGCTCAAGTACTATTGAAACAAGAGAAAAACGCGGAAATTCGAACGACAATTCTACATCTAATTTGCAGACATCTCGGTTATCTCCAGACAACTTTAGAATCCTTAGTACAGAATATATACATACCTCAGAAGCTACTTCTCAAGAGGTATCACTTCAAGAATCGGTTTCCGATTCAAATGATATTTCAATATTCTCTGATAGAGAAAATAAAGAAATTAGACAAAAAATAGACGACAAAAGTCTAAAAAATGCTCCAGAAAACACAAAACCAGTACAAAATGAAGAAATCCTTGTTGAACTTAACTCTTTACTTAAAGAAAATTCGCAACCATCCTGTCACAAGATAGTAAATCAGAAATATGGAATTCAGTGTTTCAGTTCACCGATTTTTACTATTGCAAGTTCTTCGTCTTTAATCTCTGGTTACCTTGGTTCTGGAGAAGTCGACAGCTGCTCCTCTGGTGCAGATGTAACATTAGCACCCCCAAGTGGCAAATCTTGGAGTTGGGAAAACTGTAAAGGGTTTGAAAATCAGAAGCAAATAATTCAACAAAACGAATTTCATGAAGAGACAAGTACTGAAGGTAAATGTGTGGAAGAAAAAGCATACGAAGCATCTCAAGAATCTCTTTCTTTAAATAACATTCTACCTCAGTCTACAAGTATGGAAGATGTAGTCCATTATCCATATAAAGAGTGCATCATTCATAGTAGCTCGCGACCTGCTCATGGGGAAAGACAAAGTCTGAAGGTTCAATTTAGTGATCATGTAGTTATACATACAAACCCAAACCATTTCTCAGAAGAAGATAAAGTTAGTATGACAAACACTAGTACTCCTTTGACTACTAATTCCACAGTTAAAAATGATGGGAGAGACCTGCAAAAAAGTACACACAAATCAGTGATTGACAGAGAAGCCAACAGTAATTTACCTGAATTAGAGAACGTTAATTATCGAGATCAAAATAAAGAACATTACTACACAGAAGACATCGTTAAAGTTTTAGATAAAAACACTTCATCAACTAATACTCCCAGCATCCCAGTTAGAGAATACAAGTCATTGGTTAAGTTTGAATTGGATAAGTTATTGCAGTTGTGTGACCCTGTAAACAGATCATATTCGGAAGATTCTGTGAATTCGACACAGAAATATATTTTGGAAAGAAAAGAAATTCGACATGACAAATCTCCAAATCACGAGTGTGACATTAATAAAAGATCTGCAGAAGAAGAGTGTGGAAAAGATTTGGACATGTCTAGAAAACTGAATCGTACTTTAGAAAACTTCAAAAATAATATGCACAATGGCAACATTCCACAACCTTTTTCTGATTCATATCTTACTTCACTGATGGTTACTTCCAGTAATAACAAATACAGCCTAAATAGGATGAGTTATTTAAATGCAAATTGTAGTTTTTCAAATGTGAAAGAAACTTTTTTTAACCAACAGTTAGACTCTTCTGGACGAAATGGAAAAGAAGCCAGAAAAGTGCAACTATGTCAATCTGAGAAAGAGACTACTGGAGGCAACCAGCCAGTTGTTTTCTCTGATAATGTGTGTACTGGACATAGAACAGAAAACCCCGAAGGAAAGACTTCTAATCTCATCAAATACCCCCTTCTGTTAGATGAAGTGATATCCAAACAATCTATATTGAAACATTATCCTAAACCTTTTTCGTCAGAGATGTGTGATATGAATAGCTTGAAACAAAAATTGGAAAATGAAACTGCTGAAATGCCCCTCCTGCCAATTGAAAATGACCAATATAGCCCAACTGATAATGCCACAGTGGCTCGTAATGAAGAAAATGACACTTCTTCAGCTTTTTCAAAAGCATCTGTTTCTTGTGAACGTAAGCCAGTTGCATCAAAATATAAATCACTGTTGTCTAATTTTGAAGTTCCAAAACATTCCCAACTTTCAGTTGAAAATTCATCATATGAGCCCAAATCATTATCAATAGATGAAGCTAGACTCAGTTTACTGACAGAACAAATGAATGATAAAAGTAAATCCAAACCCAATTCATCACCTTCGCTGGAGCACAGTGACATTGGTGATGTCACAAAAGAAAGAAGTCGAGGAGTAAAACGACATGTTAATAAATTAGACGTCCGAGATTCATCTGGATTCTTTACTTCTTTCAGTACCAGTGATTTTCACTCAGCCATGGAATCTTTTGGCAGAGTAAGTCAGTTTTTCTCCCTTTTTGTAGGCCTTAAATTATGTTTCGTTACCTTAGGCTTTAACATCATAATAAGTATGACTTAATTTGTTGTTTTATATCTAATTCGTAAATTTTTACTTGGTATAATTTGAGTTATTCTTTCTCAAATTCTTCATTATATGATAATAAGGACGAATTAAAAACCTTTGTATTTTTTAATCATTCATATTTTTACCTAAGGCAAACAGTTATTATTATTATTATTGTTTTATA